ATTCTGTTAAAAATTATGTTAAAGTGGTGATGTGACTCATAAATGGGTTCCACAAGATTTACCTGTTTTTATCACAAATGGTCTCTGAAATTGATCACTTACACCATCAATATGGTCCTTGAAATTGAAAATCAATCAATGCAATCCTTGAAAATAAGTGTCACAAATCAATATGATCATTCGGCCACAATTTTGTAAAAAAATTTGTTATTTGCTGATATGGGTTTAATAATTAATTAAAAGTGTTGTCTAAATACCATTTTGCACAATGAATATTTTTTTTCTTATAGTAGGGCCTACTCCGAAGAGAGATCCCTTCCATAAATTCTCAAAGGCACAAGGCTTAACCAAGGCCTAAGAGGGGGTGTGGAAATAGTTTTCAACTAACAATGGACACTCCTCAGTTATAACCTCATTATCTCAAGGCAGACCTCGTCGTTCTTTGCATTACTAGACCACCAGGTAAGCGCCAAACAAGCTCTCCCAGATTATGGTGAGGAAGTTGATCGCCTAAATGTTAACAGTGATCTCCCAGAAGTTGTTACCAATGGGCCAAGTCGTCACCAAAGGTGATCTCGATCTAGGTTCAATTCGGCGAAGGGTGTCGAAGTGTGTAAAGATGGGTGTATTGAGATGTTTTTATAGAGAATAGACAACGAATGAGGTATATAAATGTGGACTGGGATCGGAGGTGATTGCAGGACTAGGTTTTTGGGTTGACAAATTTTTTATTAATTATTAAATTATTTAAGTCTATTTGTAATTTTTTTTTTTAAATTTAATTAGACTTGTGTGACCCATTTATGTGTCACATCAGCACATAACAGAATTTTTGATAGAATTGTGACGGAAGGATTACATTGATTTGAGACATTTACTTGAGGGACTACATAGATCAATTTTCAATTTCAGGGACCATTTTGATGTTGCGGGTCAATTTCAGGGACTATTTTGATGTTGTGAGTCAATTTTAAGGACCATTTGTGAGAAAAAATGACTTATGGGGGCCCATTTATGTGTCACATCAACACTTAACAGATTTTTTTACAGAATTGTGACGAAATGACCACATTGATTTGCAACACCTATTTTCAGGGACTAAATTGATTGATTTTCAATTTCAGAGACCATCTTGATGGTGAGAGTCAATTTCAGGGACCATTCGTGATAAAAACCCTTTATTTTATTATTTGGGTTTGGGCCTAGCTTATTTGGATTAGGGTTTCTTAAGTTTTGTTCTCTATAAATATAGCTTGTAGTTTAGTACGAGAATTAAGTCAGTCAAGTCATAGCGATCAGTTTGTTGTTGTCTCGTCAATCTCATTTATTTGTTTTCCGTTTAATAAAACAATGTTCACAATTTATCTTGCGTTTATTCGTTCATTATGAGTATTCTAATTTTCAACTTGTAGGTCCTACGATTGTAAGTAAGACCTACATGTATAAGAAAATGTTAGCAATTATGTATGCCCGGTTTGTGTTTTAAATAGCATTACCCAGGTAAGACCTATTTTTATCAAAATCTATCAACAAGTGTTTTAGTTTTGTGGGTATTATTGATTAAAGTACTACTCTTGCTACGATCTTACCTGCCCAGATTTTTAGAACTTAAAATCAGGATATTTACACTCTCACTTCTTGGCTTCCTTCGTCTTCGTCGGCATTTCTAGTTTCGGACATCAATATGCTTTGACATTTAACCTTTACGAAAAATGTTTTATGATGGTTACACATATGGTCCATACATGCATGATCGTCATGACAAAAAAATTTCTTGACCAGATTCGATCTATGGCTTGCTGCGATCGGATGGTAGGGATGGGAAGGCATTTTTAACCCTTTCGAAAAATGGAGTTTTATGATGGTTATAACGTAGTCCATACATGCATGATCGCCATGACAAAAATAAGTTCTTGGCCAGATTCGATCGGTGGCTTGCTGCGATTGGATGCTAGGGATGGGAAGGCAGTAGGAGTACTGGAGAATTTAAGAGGTCAGAGGAACCATGCATGGCGATTTCAAATCAAATCAAATCAAATAAACATATGTGATTCCAACATCCAATAGCGATAATTTGGAAGCATCGGGGGATCATATATTATTTTCATTTAGGTATCGAATCACAACTGGACAATGAACTTATCTATATATTAATACCTATTGAAAGTGGAATAAAATGGGACTGAACCATAAAAATACATATTTGTTCCATACATGCCAGCTGGTGATTGTAACCTAGCTACACTGGTTCATGAAGCTGCACGTAATTAGTTTAAATCCAGTATTTTTAAACTATATAATACAAGAAAAAGGATGACAGCTGATGGAGATGGAGACATTCTCTTTGAAAAGGGAAAATAAAAAAATATTGATTAAGAAGGCCCTCCATAATTCACTCCACTCACGTAGCGTTCAGGGGATGAGATTCCCCCTCCCCTCTCACAAAAAAACATACAAAAATATTATGAAGTTCCATTAATTCTATACTAGGAGAATTTTGAGATATAAGATTTGAGATGTGAGCATTGCATGTTATTGTGGAGAAATTTTTTATTGTGATCAGAACACGGATAATACATCATTTGTTTTTATATAAGTAGTGAAAAAATTTGTGTTTTAAGTTATTAATTTTACAACACACATATCTCACTATTTATATACTGGCACGTGATGTACCACTATGTGTTCTGGTCACAGTGAAAAATCTCTCGTTATCTTGAATATCTTGTGGATAAATTAATCAATATAATAAGAGATAATTAAAGTGGTTTAAGGGTTTGATCATCCTCCACCCCTGCCCCCACCACGTATGGTTCTGGGATATGTCCTTGTTAAAAAATAGAAATGTGGCACTAGAGAGTAGAGATCATCAATATTGAATTTTTTTTTTTTTTGAATAAACGATATTACCTACATAAGAGAGAGAGAGTAGACTTAACCTCACAATGAGCTAAAATAATGTGGTTATTATTTGTCTTTGTCGTGAATCAAACCTAAAACATCTTACTTACAAATAAAGAGAAATACCACCAACCAAATTATAATACTAGATAACTATTGAATCAACTTTTGACAAAGAGAAAAATTACGTTTTTAGGTGGGTGCGGAGTAATGTATTGTGTTGGATCCCACGTATAGGCCACGGGAGGACAACACCTGCGAGCTGTGGTTGTTCCGTGTTTCGGATTCTGCATTTTGAAATGTATGTAATTGTAATGTCTCCTGTATAAAAAAAATAAAAAAAATAAAAATTTAGCTAAAATGATTTTTAAGATTGACATAATTTTTTATTTTGGTTTCATTTGAAATCGATAGAAATCTTGAGTTTGTAATTATCAATCATTTTAGTCATTTTATAAAAAATCTCCATTAACTAAGAATAAAATGACAAATATACTCTCAATTTTTATCAAATTATTTTGTCACATTGTTTATTAAATTGAGGATATTTTTATCATTTTGGTCTTTATTTACATAATTTTTCACGGAACGACCAAAATGATTGATAGTGAACAAACTCATGAATCACTTCTATCGATTTCAAATAGTAAAGATCAAAGTGAGGAGTTATGTCAATTCCAAATACCATTTTGGATAAAAAGCCTAACAAAAAACAAAGGTAATTCTCCTTTTACTACTCTAAAGTGAGGAGTAATGTAAATGCTTTTGTGCTTGGAATAAGCAGGAAATTACTGAGATAGAATATGTTGAAGCCAACGATGAACTTGAAGAGGAAAATGATATTGAAGATTCTGGTAGAGCCAAATTCTAGTACCTTACAGAATAGAAATGGATGCATGCATAGCCTGCGCTAAGTTTGCATAAGTCCACTGTTCATAATTTACGTGCTACTCAGTTGTGAGATAAAAAAAAGAAGGTTTATGAAGCAAGGCTATAACTCTAGTATAAAATCTTGGAGAAAAAGTGTGTATTTGTGTGTGTCTGTATCAAATGCACTCAATAGAGGAACTAATATGCAGTTGAAACGGATGAAAAGGCCGAAGTTGCTGCTCACAAGAGAGAGCGAGTGGAATCTGTTACTGCTTCTAGGAAGTTTGAGGAAGATGAACTTGCAGCTTCCAAATCACAGAAGAAGCCAGGGTGCTTGCTGAGGTAATTAGATTCTTCCAGTGTAATTACGTTGTTAATTATGCTCTAATTTTGTTTTGATTGCATTGGTAAGTATCTATAATTGGAGATCCACCAATATGTCGTATGTAACTTTACGTTCCAATCTGAATCTATTCCTTTAAATGTCAGGTGGAGTATGAAGGTGGTGGTGTTAGGCAAAAGGTAGTACAATGACAGCTTCTGCTCATTTCATTACTAAAAAGACGGTTGGAAAGATCCACTTCTTGTGAGGTTGTTGGCCGCCGATTTCTTCAAAAATCTTGCGGCGCAAGGAAGAAACTTGCTAAAAGGAGACCAAATTTCAGAAGATTTTGATAGCTGAGTGTTTTTATTACTGTAGAAAGACAATTGATGCTTTGATTATTTCAAAAACAAGGTTACTTACCTGCCCATTGTTATGGTTTTAGTTGTTGACAAAACTATAAATTATGGCACACAATGTCATACACCAGAGCATAATAGAATTTTTTGAAAATTGTAGCTCCAATTATTCTTTCCTTGAAGTTGACTATGCCAACTAACTAAAATAACACGTTGCATATGTAAAGTAAGAGAATGACTTCCATGGCACAAGTAGATGCTACCAATAACAAATTATGTATAAATTTTCTTCATGTGTTGTAACTTTGGTACAAGATGTTAATGATGCTAACGATGGTCGTTTATTCATGTTTCTCTCGTGAATTGGATCAGTTACTCGAGGCAGTATGCACATCCACTTGCACTGACTTCAATCCCTTACCTATGAGTTAGTTCGGTTGGCTGCGTGCGCATGAGACACAACTACCCCAATGCTCAACTACCCACGACCGTGTCCTTGTCGGTACAACAGTTCCATTTAGATCACCTCATCAAACTCAAACAATCTTCTTCCTCAAAAGATGGCATCCTTCCAAATGGCAAAAGACACCACTCCTCTATCCCTCTCTCCAAACTTCATTCTCTCAGAGAATCACAGGCCACACCTCTCAAATGTTTCAGCTCTGGAATCAATCCCCACCATTGATTTGAACGACCAAGGCAGCAGCAATAACTGCGATGGACCATCCCCATTGGTTCAGAAGATCTCACGAGCTTGTGCGGAGTATGGATTTTTCCAGATCATCAACCATGGAGTACCCGAGGAAATGATGACTGCCATGGTCCAGAGGTTCAGAAGATCTCACGAGCTTGTGAGGAGTATGGATTTTTCCAGATCATCAACCATGGAGTACCTGAGGAAATGATAACTGCCATGGTCCAGTTCTTCAAATTGCCTCCTGAAGAAAGGGCAAAATACTTCACCACAGATCACTCCAAGCAAGTAAAGCTTTTCAATTACTACCTCAAAGTTGAAGAGCAAGAGCAAAATGTCACTATGTGGAGTGAAACCTTCCCAAGCAAGAGCAAAAGGTCACTATGTGGAGTGAAATTCACTCTTCTCACATCTTTGGCATCCTCTCAATTCCTTGCCTGAAAATCCTCCCCAATACCGGTACCAGCACAATATGAACAATATATTCTACCTTAAACTAATATAAACTAGGGGAAAGGGAGAACTAAGATGTCAATAAATGAGCACTAAACCATAATTCATACACATTTTATAGTCCTTTCAGTGCCATCGAGTTCTATTTTTAATTAAAAGTTTGTAACTTTATTCTAATTCTGCGTATTAATTTCCCTTTTGTTTATGGTTTTGTTAGTGAGGTTTTTGCTGAATATGCAAAGGAGATTGGCAGATTGATGAAAATGCTCTTGGGATTGCTATCCCAGGGACTTGGACTAGAAAAGGACTGCTTACAAAAGAAGCTGGGTGATAATCCTACTCTGATAGCACGGGGAAACTACTATCCACCATGTCCAGACCCTGAGGTCACGCTTGGACTAGCTATCCGTACTGATCTCAATGCACTCACAGTACTCAGGCAGACAGAGGGAGTAACTGGCCTTCAAGTGATCAAAGATGGGAAATGGGTTGCTGTCGATTCTCTCCCCAGTGCCTTTGTTATCAATCTTGGTGACCAAATTCAGGTGCTGTCATAAAACCGGTTACAAATTTTTATAAACAAAAACGGCGATACTAAACAGAAAATAAATGGATAATTAACCGTGATTTATATGTGATTTATACTCTATTTGTATTTATTTCACAGTTGCTTTATGGGTTATATTCATATTTAAATTGAATTATCTCTCCTTTTTTTATGTAGGTTTTGAGTAATGGAAGGTATAAGAAAGTGCACGACAGGGCAGTGACCCAACAGGGACACTGTGATTGGTGCAATTGAGGATTCGATTGATGAGCAACACCCTACATTGTATCGGAGCTACAAGTATGCAGAGTTTTAAGAGTTCTACAGGCAAGAAGGAACAAGAAAGTTTGTCAAGGAAGATTTTGAGTTGCGGAATTGAAAAATTACCTTGACTTATATGATTGGCTATGTTGTATTCCAAACATTATTGTCATCATCTAAAAATTTTCTCAGTGTTGTTATTTATTTTTTTTAAATCGCCACGACAGCCTACCTTTCAGGTTAGGAAAGATTCACAAAGGTATTTTAGCCTCTTCATGACTATTGTCGTGTGATTCACCAGCACTAAGGATTGAACCAAAAACGTGCCGTGTAAAATACTGGCATATAATTCATTTTAAACCACTGAGTCACCACATGATTAATAATAATAATAATAAAAATGTGAGCATCGATTTATAATAAGAGCTACTAGACCCACCCGCCTCATTGTCTTATTTTTCCACCCACGTTATAATCTCATCCACCTTAAAAAGTTAAAAAATTAAAATGCTATTTTCCCACCCACTATTGTTCCCAAAATAACCTTTAAATATACATACATATAAAATTATAAAACAGCATATAATTTTCATAATGCATCTCAAACGTGGTGTTTCAACTGGCTTTCGTGCCAGGTGTGGATGCAAATTTCTTCCTTCTTGTTCTTGGATGAAAATGCACCTGCAAAAACAATTAACACCTTAGGTCAAGGCTAAGAGCCTCATGTGCCCACAATGATTTTTTTTGGGGGGGAGGGGGGGGGGTGGGTGGTGGGCTTTGGTCGAAGAACCTCCGATGCCAAAGTTAGAATTTTGAGGGAAAAGTGTTTGGAAAATTTAGAAAATTTTGCAAGAGGATTCAACTTAGGTTTTTGGAGAAATGAAGTAGTATTTATAGGGGTGTGGCCGGCCCCCTTTGGAGAGGTGGGAACCGGCAACATGTAGTGGTTTTAGGCCATAATATCTTGCAATCAATTAGAAAATTAATTAATTAATTAGAAAATCAATTAATTAATTTTAGGTAATTAATCCTATTTTGAATGAATATTTGGAGGTTACCTTGTGGGGAGGATTTGAGGAGAATTGATGAAATAGGTTTTGAATAAACACCTATTTTGATCACTTTTGACCTTGATTGAGTGATGATTGTCCGCTGCTCGAGCGTAGGAGTTCCTGATATGCCTTAAGGGTAATCTTATTTTTTTCACCCAAAAATCCATGTGTTGCCTCCATATTTTTCTTGATTATTTTTTGCTCCACACCAGGGTGCTGTAGATTCATTTCAAGCGTTCTCAAACGTCAATGAAACGGAAAAAAAAATTAAAGGATTGTTTGATTTACTTAAAGATTTTCGTAGGTGAATTTTGTGTTTCTCAACCTATGTTGGCCAAATTCAAATAAGCAAAAAAAAAAAAAAAAAAAGAAGATATGTTGGCCAAATCCTTTTTTCTGATCTTGAAGTCACAGGTATGCTAATTCAATTCGAAAACACCAAGGTATCCAAATTTGAAAACAAGAAAACTTCGACAACGACGTATATACTATGCGGCAAATTCAAATGATCCATATACAAAATTATTCTTTTACTTCTTTAATGGAAACATAATTTTCTATCCTTTCTATAAAAGTTTCATCTTCTACTTCTTCAATGGAAAAGTCATCTTCTAAATCCATTGTATTTTTTTTTTTTTTTTTTTTTGGCTTTCTCTAAATGAAAGGAGATGGAAAGATGAGTTAGAGTTTAAGATAGACTAAAGTATGCAACCCAACCCTTTTTTTCAACGCAAAAGAGGATAATTAATGTTCTTATAAGTCATTTTACAAATGTACAAAATTGTAATTAAAAAATTTAATAAAAAGTGAATGAGAGGATAAGATATTTAGAGAGGATAAGATATTTGGAGAGAATAACATCACTATTTATAATATTAATATAAAGGAAAATTTTGAAATAGATTCAATTTTATAGACCATCTTTTAAAATAAATCTAATTTTTAATGACTTTAAACTTTTGAAATATATCTAATTTTTAATTATTTGAACCATATCAAAAGACCACTAATATAACCGATATGATGATAAGGTGGTTGAGAGTTACATACGATTGCAGACCGAAAAATACAAGAAACTTTTGCGGTTTAAAAGCAAACTTCACTTGGAACGAAAATTCCAAAAGGCAAACCTCAATTCACTACTCGAGTCTTGATCAAATATGGCAGCAGCAACCCAAATCCCGGAAGTGGTGCTCGGCTCCTCCGCCGGCCCCAAGAGCATGCCCGTCCTCGCCTTCGGCACAGCGGCCGACAACATACAGCCTGACGCGTTGAAAACGGCGGTGATTGAGGCCATCAAGCTAGGCTACAGGCATTTTGATACAGCTTCCATATATGGCTCCGAGCAGACTCTTGGTGACGCCATTAAAGAAGCTTTAGAACTTGGCCTTGTTGATTCCAGAGACAAACTCTTCATCACTTCAAAGCTGTGGAGTAATGATGCTCACCCTGATCTCGTCCTTCCAGCTCTCAAGAAATCACTTCAGTAAGTATTAGGTAGTTATTATGGAAAATTACTACTTACCCATATCTGACTATCTCAAGCTAATAGTTCAATCAAACTGCTTACGAGTGAAAGTTTTATATAGTTGGTTTGAAATAATGCCACCGTAGCATCTATGTGTGGGCAAATTATTGGGTCTCACAGTCGATTTAGGTCGACTGTTTAACCCACTTATAAAGAGGGGAACCTTGCATAAGGTTTGCACTTGGGACCAAGACCTCCATACATATAGACTAGATAATCTTGGATTTGTAGGATTATCCAATAGGAAGATGTCGCATATCAACAAATGGAGCCGGATTAACCAAAAGAAAAGGAATGCGTGTTTGGTTACAGTCAAATTACTGAGTGGTTGAACAGTCCCACTTAGTAATTTGACTGTCGGACATAAGAATTTCTTCTCAAAATATGACATTTATGAAATGGAGTTTATTTTGTATGGAATCTGGATGATTTGATTGTGTGATTATGTGCAGGAATCTTCAACTGGAGTACCTTGACTTGTATCTGATTCACTGGCCTATCAGTGCCAAGCCAGGAAAATTGGTGTACCCATTAGTTGACCTTATGCCCATGGACTTCAAAGGGGTGTGGGCAGCCATGGAAGAATCTCAAAGACTTGGCCTCACCAAATCCATTGGAGTTAGCAACTTCTCTAGCAAAAAGATTGAAACTTTACTCTCTTTTGCTTCCATTCCTCCCTCTGTAAATCAAGTATGTCCATTTTTCAACCTACAATATTGCTTAAATTTGTATCTAAAAGTTGTACTTTTTTCCCTTTTTCCAATCTCTAATTTGTTAGTGTGTGCGTGTGAATACAGGTCGAGATGAGTCCATTCTGGCAACAGAAGAAGCTGAGAGACTTCTGCAAGGCCAATGGTATAGTTGTGACTGCATTCTCTCCTTTGGGTGGAATTGGTTCCAGTTGGGGCACCAATCATGTTTTGGAAAGCAAAGTGCTTCAGGATATAGCAGAGGCTCGGGGAAAGACTATTGCTCAGGTTTTGTCACATTTCGTTTTTCTTGATGATATTTTTGTGTTGGGGTAGTGTGGCTTGATATTTTTTTAGATAAGACTACACACCAGTATAAGTTCATTGAGCCTAACCCAACTTAGTATTAGACTTGAGTGATTAAATTGGTGTCAATATCGGTGTTGGCCCTGTTGGGTAAGACTTAATGGTCGTTTTCACATAACAGTAATGAAATTTATGTAGTTCACACCAGAAAATATCTGATTGGGAATAATAAGCAGAAATAAACATGATTAATGATTTTTCAATCAAAATTAGAATTAGTACACACTAATCAATGGACTGAAACTTGGTGAGTTTGTGGTAAATTTGGCAGGTTTGCATTAGATGGGTATATCAGGTAGGGACAACTGTAGCTGTGAAGAGCTACAACAAGGAGAGGTTGAAGCAGAATCTGCATGTGTTTGACTGGGAGCTATCAGAAGATGATCTTGCCAAGATCAATCAAATCCCACAGAAGAAGATGATGCGTAGAGAAGAACTGGTTTCAGCTGATGGATCATCTCCGTACAACTCTGTTGAAGAATTATGGGATGGAGAGATTTAAGCCCTTCTTACCTTTTTGTGTTTGTGTGCATCAAATAAAGGCGCCAGCGTGTGGATGTGGCTAAGGACTGGTTTGGTATTGCTGTGTATTGAAAAAAAAGCTGCTTCTACTGTGCTGTGAGAATAAGCAGCTGTGAAATAAAGCAGCAAAGTGTTTGGTAAACTTTTTTGTAAAAGTGCTTTTGGAAAAAAAAAAAAAAAAAAAAAAAAGCAGTATTATAGTGTGTGGTAAACTTTTATGTAAAACAGATGTGAAAAAAAACCAGTTTTTCAAAGCTGGGTTTTGCAGCTTCTTGTTTTTGGTTTTTTTCACCCAAAACTATGAAAAAAAGCTGAAGCTGAATGTTTACCAAACACAAAAACAACTCCCAGCTTTTTTTTATACCAGTTTTTTTCAGAATCACCTTAGTACCAAATCAGGTCTAATTGTCCAACATCATAAGAAAACCGTATTGTTTCTGTTATTGCCAATTGATTTTAGAATGTTGAACTTCAAATTCCTTTAACGAGAATGATTTCCTATACCCTATTGCTTCCTTGGATTTAGAGAATGATATTTGATACGAGGAGGGGAGGCCCTCCACTTTTAATTCCTTTTTCTCTAGTATGTATGGACACCAAAACTTTTTACCGTTAAATACTGCGTGTTCCGCCAACACGCTTGCATATGCCAGAATATAATAGAAATTTCAAAATTTCCCCAAAATCAGCTCAGCAGCAACTGCAAGTCTGTAAAACCCAATCTGTTATTTCGAAGCCCACATGTCCAATATAGACTTGCCATTAGGCCTTTCGTTTTCTAGACCCAGTGGTCCAAAAGCTAACATTTCTATTGTTAAAAGAACTATTTTAATTTGGAATATGATATGTACATTCGCATTTTCTTTTCTTGCATACTTTTCCTTTCACTTTTTCTAGTCTTTTGATTAAGTCAAAACAAAATTAAAGAAGATAAAAAAGGAGGGAAATGTAGAAGGAGAAAATGAGAACATAAAAATTACAGCTCTTAAACTCGTTTGATAACCGTTTTATTTTGCATTTTCAATTTTTTTTTTCTTTTTCTTATGTAGATATAGAGAGAAAGTAGATGAAAATTGCATGAATCAATACCGTGGAGGGTTTGTGTTAATAGGGAGAGATGACCACAAAATGACATACAAAATTATAACAATACTAGAAAAGGAAATCTATTTAAATCTGTTTTATATTTTTACACTATTCATGTTTAAAAGAGAGGAGGCCACTCAGTAGTCATTACTATGGTCTGGTGGTATTTCTCTTCATTTGAAAATGAGAGGTATTAAATTCAAATTATGTAGACGGCATTGTGTGGCTTAGCCGAATTTTTCCTCTTTTTAGTGTAAAAATATTGATATACTAAAAAAAAAAAAAAAAAAAAGGAAACGGGACACAATAGGTGACCATATGTCTAATTTTTCTTCTTAATATAAAAATATCGATGTACTAAAAAAAAAAAATGACACAATAGGTGACCATATGGTTATTGATATACTAAAAAAAAAAACAAAAGGAAAACTAATGAAAATAGTTTGAAAACTTTGAGTTTTTAATGATAAGGACAAAATAAAAGGTAAAATGAATAATATCATAATTGACTTTTTAGTGTTAAAATGTGATTTTTCGTTAAAATAAACAGTACAAAATGTTTTTCGGTAAAATCCTAAAAAAAAAAAAGGAAAAAGGGCACAATAAGTGACTATGGTCTATTTCTTTTTATTTTTAATATTAAAATATCGATTTATTAAAAAAAAAAAAAAAAAAAAAAAAAAAAAAAGGAAAAGAAGAAGAAGAAGAAGAAGATAGAGGACACAACAGGTGACCACATGGTCCAATTCATCTTAGAACTTCTAAAAAAGTACCGCCTCTAGTACATAAAGGACGACAACTTGTAAGTATGCACGCAGTAAAGAGTTGCATCCACAATGCATACAGCATTATAGGCTGGGACTCAATAGAACCCCTAAACCCTAAGATCTCATGCATGCATGCATGCCTACATAGAACTGGTAATCATACTCATTACTAGGTCCGTCAAAAGCTAAAAGCGCCTTGTGCCTTGTGTTGCACGCCTGTCCTCTTCCCCTCCCGTCTAATTTGGAGTAAAAAAATAGTCAACGGATATTTGCTAACAATTTTTCTTACTTATCATGTAACTTATAAAAGATAAAAGTACATTTTGCGGTTAAATAAGATATGTCATGTTTTGTCATTTAATATTATAATATAGTGATATTTTTCTTTATTTATAAATTAGACTTCTTAGATTCGATTCTCGTCAAAAATAAATTTGAAACATATTATTGTTAGCTTGCTAAACTCACAACATTCCTCTTTAATGTAAATAATATCGTTTGTAAAACATAAAAATAAAAAGATTTGTCATGTCTTCTTCTCTTTCCTTTTGCACACTTCTATTAATTTAAATTTCTTAATTTCTTTTAATTATTCAATTTAAAGGCTAATCCTACATAAAATTGTGTAAGAAAAAAAAAGTTAAAAAAGAGTGAAAATTATTTCTCGTAAGTATATTAGCCATCCTCAACATGGTACACTTGACACTTCTCATGAGCCGCATGGTCAGGGTCGGCCCTAAGAATTTAGGGGCCCTGTGTAAGATTTAGATGGAGGCCCTTCTTCTTTTTTATACTGTATTTTCTTTGTTATTTTTTTCAATTTGTATCTATAAAATTTAAACACTACAAATTAGAGAACCAAATTATACGTATTATTTGAGTGGACAAGAGTGTTTCCTGTCTTGAAAGGTCTTCAGTTTGAAATATGTTGCATAGTTTTTTGTGTAAAACTTATCAACTTTTTAAGTTAATAAATTTGCAAAACTTAAAAATAGCAAAATAGTTTTTTTTTTTTTTGAAAAACCGGCTTCCATTAAAAACCGGGCCGAAGCCACAATACAACAGAAGCTCAACCAGAGCAAGCCACAAAGGCAACCACAATCATAAGCAAAGGAGGGGGATCAACACAGCTGACCCATACCAAAGGCACGGTCTCCCCCTCCCCGGCCAAAACAAAAATTAATGGGGGCATGGTAACCCATCCTTGTTAAGAACACGGACCAGCGAAGATGGAGGGAGGTTTACCCAATTTACACCGCACATCTCCAGATTACTTCTCGACGCCAATACATGCGCCGCCAAATTGGCCGATCTCGGAACCCAAGACCAGCGACAATCCTGAAAGGTCCCCCCAATACGCAAAATAGTTTCACAAGGACTCAAACCCATGCCATGTACAAAAAAGATTAAAGGCCTGCACCACTAGCGCTGGTACGGTAGTTATTATTATCTTACACATTTAAGTATATAATATGTATCTGCTTACATGTAAAGAAATTTTGGGGCCCTTCCAAATCGGGGTTCATGTGCGGTGGCACCTTTTGCACACCGTCAAGGCCGATTCTGTGCATGGCCGATGAGTCTCATAATTCCATAATTACTAAGGTGATAGTCATCTTTTTTTTTAAGAAAACTTCGACAGTATGAAAAAAAATTTATTGATATCAAAAAAAAAATATATCTAATCAGGAAAGATATAAAACCTAATACCTCATGGTACAAGAATAAAGAATTAAAAATACATGAAAAAGGAAAGGAACATAAACTTTATCCATTTAGAAACAAAAATAACAAAGATTGAATTAAAAAAGAGGGGAACATGAAACATAACTCCTCTAAAACCAAAACTAAGGGATTAAACCTGCACAACAAAATGAGCAACATCACAAGGTTAAGAAAAAACAAGAAATTGAAACAAACATGTATGCCAAGATGTATATTAAATTGAGAAGCAGAAGAAAAAAAAACTATATAGTCTGAAAATAAAACAGTAGGAACCGCTAACGGAAGGAAATCATATCCTACCAAAGTTGGTTTAGAATGTTAGCTAATTGTAATTAATTTAGTGAAAATCATCTTTTGGTACTAAAACAAAATTAAAAAATGAAGGAGAAGTCAACTACTGCAGGTGCGGGGCATGCAGCCGCCATATTAATACAGAACAATAGGGGCACGATGAGTACTCTACGTGTACCACCTCCTACCATGCTACATGCTCTGTATGAAAAGTTTGGCCTCTTTTTATCCAACAACCCCAGTTATTGGTAGCACGTGTATGGAAAGGCATGCATGATTATTCAATTTGTGCACACGTGGCGCGTGAATGCTGGTGATTTACAGGAGGCAATATCCTGACAGTAAATCTATAAGATAGCAACTTCTCACCGCAAGTCCGACATTGCATTTGCATCAATTTTTTCATCTCACACTTTTTTTTCTCCTGTGAATTCTTGTTCTTCAAGATAAAGTACAAGACAGACAGGGAAGTAATTCAATTTTAAGTACTTGATGCAGAACTGGAATTATTACATGAGTTGAAGATTCAAACAAACAAGTTACTCAATGAATTCAAAATTGCACATGCATTATTATTCGACTCCATCAAAGCTGCCTAAACATAGTAATTATCATTTAGGTGCGTCTCTTGATTGGTGTATGAGGACTCAGCGTAAAATTGAGCGAAATAACATTTTGGGATTCATACAATCAACCTCACTTAGTGAGATAAGATTTGATTGTCGTTGTAGGTGCTTCTTCTTATGGAGTCGGCTTGACAATTTTGTAGTGCTATTCAAATTTTGTCAATGAAATAAGAATATATGTTTATGTAAAACTTGTTTGGATGTGCTTTTAAAATGACAGAAAACGCTTTTGGTGAAAATATTTTGAAAAAAAATCCTTAGTAAAAATGCTAGTAAATCCTTAAAAAGTATTTAAAATGTTTCATGGAAGAAGCATATAACTGATGCTTCTTTTAGAAAGCACTTAACGTGCTTTTGGAACCCAAAACATTTTATCTAAAAACGTTTTCAATCATTTTAAAAGCATATTCAAATGAACCCATAGTCGGTTTAATCTTTTTCTTTTCTCTCGGACTTTGCTATATTTTTTTAACGTATAGATAAATTTTATATATTTTGAAAAAAAAATTGACTAAATTGATTATAAATTAAATATCATCAAAATTAAGTATCAATGACATGTAATATTAAGGACAAATCAATCACATATTGATAAAATATTTAAAAATAATTATTTTACCAACTGAGATTTTAAAATATGATCATTT